CCTGCCCAGGACTTCGGACACTAACACACACTCAAGTACGCCAAGACCTGGGGCACCAGCCTGCCAAATCCCCACTGTCCAGCTCCGTTACACCACCTCTCCATGGAGCAATCAAATTTTCCTCCCACATGGAGAAATTAATCAGTGGGTGTCACAACAGCTAATAATTTTCAGTTACCTTCTTCCCTGCACACTGAATTCAGGCAGAAGCAGAAGTACTTAAATATCATTTGGGTGACTATTATTAATGCTTGAACCTGGAGCCTAATGGCTCCTCCACACCAGCAGGTTTTCTAATGCTGCTGCAGTTACTGACCCTTCACCTCCCCTCTGATCATCCTGGATACCTGAAAATTTCACGTCCTCTGATGCTGATTAGGAAGACTCCCATGTTCTCCAGCCTGGACTGTTTACATAAATTGACACTTTAATGCATATTGCCAGCAAGCTTTCCTTTGACGCTTTGGCACAGATGGCTGATATTTCCATGCCACGGCAGCTATTAGATCGTAATGTTACCAGTGACAACTTTGCATCACCTGTACCGTGTACACTCTGGGCCCCCGCAGCAGGATGCACTAGGAATTCAGCTTGAGATACTACTATGGGCTGAGGCTGCTCCTGCCTTCTGCAGATGGAATTTGTACATCTTGGTTTGGGACACTGCTGCTTTCTGGATTCCTACAACACCTTGCTGTAGCGGCAGGTACTTACCAGTTATCCTCCTGCTGGGGGCATGCCAGGCATCGCCTCTTCCCACTTCCTTGAAAAATTGCCTCCCATGGATGATGAGCTTTTCTCCTTGGGTGCTGTCCCAAAGAGTCATTCACCCTTGTCACCTCTCCAATTTGCTTTTAAGAATTAACAAGAGGTTCTCTACAGGTCTGAACCAATTTCCTCTTCCTTCCTTCAGAGACACCAGAGTTTTGGACGACTCTAGATCCAAGTCCCCACAAGCTCCAGCCATGGATTTGAACTGACTGCAGCTTTGGGGAGGCCACTGCAGAACTCTCCAGTCTCTTGTTATGTTAACAATGGCAAAACACCGCAGAGACGGCGGCTGAAATTCAAGCACTATTTAAACAAATGAATATGTAGAGTATAGTTCATACAATGCGAGTTCAGACAAGGAAAATCGGAACGGAACAGCCAGGCAGCTCAATGTGAACCAGATTTTAAAAACAAAAACAAAACCCCAAAGCCCTTCCTCAAGGAAGCCCTTGCTGAATTCTTTCCCCTGCTGAGGAGTCCAACATCACGCCTTGTACTAAAGTCTTTGCATTTCACTCCAAGGAAGGATTTGGAGAAAAAAAAAAAAAAAAAAAGCAGCACATTATGGAACACAGTCTGGCTTACAGCCAGGTTGGGGGGAAAGCAGCACAGAAACCCTCTGGTTTAGCAGCACATTTTACTCCTGCTCTATGGCAGAACAAGCTTTTGAAAGCCCTAGCAGTTTGAACCTGAAGCACTGCAGAGTCTCAGCTTCCCTAAGGCGAATCAGTCAATTGGTTCAACAGTGTATTTAAAATCCCCTGGAGTCTACCTTTAAATCACCTTTATATTCCTCTACCCCAAGCTAATACTTTTTACCTGCATTTTGCTTCATCTCCGTAGAAAAACAAGCTATTTAGCAGTCACATTAATAATCCGCAGCAATCTGGTTGTCATTTCCCTGATGGAAAATTTCACACTGCTGCCCAGCAGCAGCGACATGGTGAGTGCTATGCGCACCTCAAACCGCTCTGCTTTCCTCCCACTAAACCCAGCAGTCATGAGAAAGGCAAGAGTCAGAGCTGGACGGGTGAGGAGGATGGGCAGAAAACACAGAGTTAAGCCCGGTCAGGTGTACCTACTGCTCATGCACGTGCAGGAACCACGTGGAAGCAACCTGATGCTGAGTGAGAAAGTCAGCAAGCTCATATCAGAAGGACCTTAGAAGAAACCCAGCTCCTGAACCCCCAGCCATACGATGGTAAAATATTTGTTGATAATTACTTTACTGGGGAAGGTGGTCAATGGAGAGGAGCTTTGGGATGGAAGGTCTTAAGGTAGGAGATGAGCTCCTGGGGACACAAACTACCTTTGCTATGTGCATCCAGCACGTCTGGCCATGGGTGCTCAGTCTGGCCAGGTTGACTGATGGGTGAATGCAAACAAACAGCAAGAGGCGGGGACCAGTGCTAAAAAACACACTCCAAACTTCAACTCATTTTGATGCGTCTTCAAACTACCACTTTCATCCTAAATATCCCAATCTGGCCTTCTCTGGTTGATGAGCCTGTTAAGCAAATGACTGTAAAGGCTGTTTCAGTCTTCTAGGCATCTTCCATGGAGAAAAGCGGGTCTCTCCAGGATGCCTGTCCCCAGGTGAGATGCAAAGCCTCCAGAGGAGCATACTTCTCTCCCCTGGCTAAAATGAGGACCTCAGCTGACCAGCTCATGTTCTGAAGTCCAGGAAGTTCTGGTGGTCCCAGAGCTGCTGAATCCTACCCAACACTGCTGGGGACAGATGGGAGGGCAGAAGTCTTACTCCTTCCAGACTAACCATCAGCCCATCCATCCTCTCACACAGTAGCTGCTAAAGTGTCCTCTCCCCTCTGGCAAGGTGCTGGTAAACAACCCAAGGCTTTTGACATGGCACCATAAAACATGTCCTGAAAGTATTTATCCTAATATAGTCTGGTGTGCCCAGGGTGGCCTCATGTGAAAAGCCCAAGAGGTAAATATTCATTAAGTAAGCAGAGAGCTTAATATAGAAAGTCATGGAGTCAAGTACTCTTCAAGCCCCCTCACATCTTTGCAAACATCAGCCAATGAAGATAACTTTGGCATGGTTGATCACTTGCACTTTTAAGAAAGGCTCTTCTAAAAGAAAAAAATCACATGTTTCAGTGTTTATAATCTCTGCAGAAAGGCCTGGTCCAGCATTTCTCCCCTCTAATTCCTGCTCTCATAACTGTCAGATTATGAAACTGCAGACTACAAGCCTCCAGAGTTTACAGAAAAACACCTCTCTGCTCTCTGCCACCACTTTCAGCAGATGAACTAATAAAAACAAGCTCCGCTATTGACTCCAAATTCCTGGGAGAAAGGAATCTGGAACAGTAGTAGCTTCAAAATACAGTCAAAGAAAGCAACCACCCACAGTGTCTGGAGTCCCCCCCACGCTTATCAGCTCCCTTCACCTTGTTACCCGAAAACCACCACAAAAATCTGCCTCTTCCCATCCAGCTGCCTGCTGGAACATATCGCTGGCCAGGGGAGGCCAGCACCCCGCTGCCCTATTTCCCCCGAGGCAAAGAGTTAAGGAGCTGTGTTGCCTTTAGGGTGTTTGATGATGGGAGCTTGCTCAGCCACCCATCCCTGGTGGGACGGTCCCTCTGGTACACACACAGGAGCCTACACCAGCATCTCCCAAAGATACTCCTGATAAAGGGCAACAAGCTTTGATAATCCACCCCTTGGACAGCAGCAGCAAAGACACGGCAGATCTGCTTTCATCTCTCAGCCAAAGGAGTAATATAACTGTTTATAGGTTCCCTGAGCCACGTCCCCCCAGGTTTTTAGGAGTTGGTCTTCCCAATATTATAAAATAAAGGTGGAATCACTCAAGCTTCCCTGCAGAGCTCCCACCAAGGTGAAGGTGAAAGGTGAAGGTGAAACCTGCAGGTTTCAGAGCTTCAGAGCGCAGCGATGTTTAATGTGTACTGAAAACAAGGGTTAGCCAGCCAGACTGTATTAGGATGTCAGGGAGAAGGCGCTGGCTGGAAGGGACACATTTAGCACAGCCGTGCCTCCCTGGCGTTCGGTCATTGAGGCATTAACGCCACGGGAGGACATGGGAATTTGGAGCCTGTCTGCAGCCACCACTGCTGCTACTGGGAGCTGTGGGAGAAACACCTCTGCGCGCAACTGCGAGTGACTCTGCAAATACAAAATGTGCCAGGAAGGGAGAAAAGTAAACAGCCATGACTCAAGATGCGAGGGAGTTCCCAGCAAAGGCTGGCGCCGGGGCAGGGGTGGCCGTGTCTCTCTGGGAGGGGAGAGGTCTGGCATCCCAGGAGAAGCACCATGCTGGGCCGGCCACTGGGAGCCCTCAAGCATTGGAGGGGTATATAACAAGGTTTTGCAGCATCTCAGCATCCCCACTAATAAACTCTTCCCACAAATCCAAATGAAGCGTGCACCTGCAGCACCAAGCCATCCCATGCCTGCGGCAGGACTGAGGGCACCATGCCAGGAGGGCTGCCAGCAGCAGTCACAAAACCTACGTGAGACCAGACCATGCAAAAGCCTCTCTAAAAGCAGAGCTCTTGTCATCCTTACGGAGGCATTTCAAGAGGAACGTGGCAACTCCTTTTCTTAATGACTATATATAGGGAAAAGCTCTGCTAGGTGACAAGTGTGTGAGAGGCTGGAGCAGAGGCAGCCTCTTGCCTGCAAGGACTCAGATAATCAAGCAGAGGAATAGCCAGTGATGAGTCTATTTTGGACTCAGCGTGCTGTTGCTGGAACATTCACTGGGGAGGCAAAGGCATTTGTTACCTCCTCTCCAGGGACTGCAAATTCAATAGACTTCCCTGCCTGCAGCTGCACCAACCCTGGAGCCCGCAGCCGCCGGCAGTGCCGCTAGGACTGCTGGGCTAACACAAACCCCGCGACAAACAGCTGCTCCTTCTCCTTGGCCCCTGCACCACAGAAACCAGCAACGTGTGGTATTGCCCACGTGACGGCGGTCTCGGCACGGTGCTGAGCATCCCTGGCAGGGCCAGGATGCGGGAGCGCACGCAGCCAGGTACCAGCCACGGTGATCGCTGCCTGCCTCTGCCTGCGGGCTGGACGCAGGCTCCGAGGAGAAAAATCAGGCCTACTCTGTCCTGGGACCCTTCCTACAGCACCCCAATGCCTCTCACCCCAAACCATCTCGCTGGCAGCCAGATTCGGACCCACACCACCACCTGCATCCCTGGTGCACCGGCAGCTGCTGGGACAGCGCTCACCTGCTCATGGTACTCGATCCCCATGCTGAGCGTGTTGATGAGAATGGCCACCATGATCCCACGGCCAAAATATTTGCTGTCTACAATCTTCCGGAAGGTCTCGCACACCACATGCCAGAAGGCCAGCACCCGGCTCGTTCTCCTGGCCCGGGCTCTGCCCCGCTGTGGGTCCCGCTGGTCGCTGTAGTGGGCGTCCTGTGTGAACTCGTAGACCCCCTCGCTGTCCGAGTCGGCAGTCTCGTTGTCTGTCAGCTCGGCCTCGCTCGCCAGTGCCTTGAGGCAGTACGGGCAGCTCTCAGGGTTGCAGGAGCCGCTGTCCAGCTTGGTGCAGGGACTGGAGATCTTGCAGGAGCTTTGGCAGGGACCTGAAACGCCAGCGGGGCAGAGGCAGGGCAGCCCGTCAGCCAGGATGGGGGGGCTGTGGGCAGCCACGGGAGCAACCCCCAGTCCCTGTTAGCACCAAGCTGTTGCCCTCGACAGGACAGGCATTTCCTAAGGGGAAAAGGGCTCCTGCTGGGTTAAACAGCTCTAAGCAAAACCTTGCTGTCCCCAGGCAGACACTGCCACCAGCCCAGGACCCCTAGCCCACCTCATTATACCTCTGGCCTAATATTATGGTTAGGAGAAAGCAATCTGCTCCCCTGGCCCTGGCAGGCTCCGAGCTGTAATTAGCGGGAGCACCACCACCAGCAGCCTCCCTTCCTGCTCCCGCTGTTTGCTGGTGCTCCGAAATCACCAGCTTCCCCCTCCATGTGCTGCCCCCAAGGGCAGCTCCCAGCTGCCAGGTGGCTCCCAGGTGGCAATACAAGCAGGATATTCCCCAAAAGTCCCACCAGCTGGCTGCCAGGGGAGAGGCTGTCTGCAAAGCACGCTCCTGACTCACACACAGCAGCACCCAGCAGTGTGAATAAAAACCCAGTGCTAAACCATCTCAGAGCCCAGCTCTGTGTATTCAGTCTCTGGGCAGCTCTGGGCTGGGGGCAGGACTTGGGCTCTTCCCTGCACAGCTCCTGGCTGGGAAGGTCAATGCCGCTGTGGAGGGGTGGAAAAGGCATCGACCACCTGGGAAAGCTTGGCCAGAAATGCTTCTTGGAGGCTCAGAGGGTTTGGACTAGACTGGCCTGAGCTTCCAGACCTCAGGATCTGGAGGGGGAAAGAGCATCTTGCAGTGAAGGTATGAAACCCCCAATCTGGGAAAGCTGCATTCAGTGTCTGGCTCTGTTAGGGGCTTCCTGAGCAAATCACTCCAGGCAGATTTTTAATACTTGGCATCTGCGATTGCCATTGAGCACTCGTGCAAAGCAGACACTCAATCTCCCTGAGCCTCGGGTCCCACGGGGAGCAGAGCTACACAGTGCTCAGGGGTGTGCTGGGACTTAGGTCTGGAAGGTGTCCATCCCCAAGCTCTGCAGCAAGCAGTGGCAGTGCAGCCACCTCCAACCCCTGTGTTTTAGTGAGGAAGGGACATGGCTATTTGGAAGCAGCCAGGCTGGGCTCCAGCTCTGCTTGGTGTCACCAAGTCCAGTTCTAGATTTGGGGAGTACAGGGATTTGGGGAGTGTTCCCTGTAATTGCAGAATGATTTTATTTGACTGGGAGGAGATGGGGATGGGAAAGAAGATGGATTCATTAAAACATTCATTTCATGGGTTCATCCAAACATTCATTTGGATTTTTGCAAGTATGAAGTCTGGGAGGTTGAAACCTCTCTCTTGGTTTTGGCTATAAGATGCCTTAGATACATTGGAAGATTCATGTTGGCCTCACCTGGAAAGCCGTCGCCTTTCTCCGTAACGTGGACTGAAAAGAACCCTGCAAAGATGCAGAGAGAGAAAGAAATTAGGTTGTACCTTGTATTTCTGCAAGACAACCCCAGACCGACGTCCAGCCCCAGGCTCACCCGTACTCTGCGTCTCCAGCAGCTTGTGCATGGTGCTGTACGGCCCGGGCGGGATGTTGAGGCTTGTCAAGGTGCTGCTCCCAGCACCGACCGCCACCTCCCCCAGGCTCTTCTCCTTCAGCACCTCATGGGAGGTACTGGGGTGCACCGTGGGGTACACCTTGCTGCCCACGACGTTCTTGGGGATCCCCTCTGGGCTCGGCAAGCTGAGGCCTGGCTGCGGGAGGGATGACCGGCAGCGCACCGGCTCAAAGTGGCAGTCAGCATGGTAGATGCTGTGGACGGACTCGGTGTTGCTGGGAGCAGCACTGGGGACACCGTGGGGGTTTGGTGCCGAGGGAGGGAGCATCAGCCGGTTGGTCCCGTTGTGGAGCGAGCTGGTCTCCACATCACTGATCTCTGGGCTGGCGCGGGGTGCCCGCAGATTCCCATTGCCCAGGTGGTAGTGGTGGTGGTGATGGTGATGGTGGTGGATGAGGTGGTGCACAGAGGACCTCTTCCTGCTCCGGCGCTTCCCAGCATGGCGGTCAGCCCCCGCCTTGCTCACGGGGCTGGTGAGGAAGCCCATCCTCACGCCCGCCACCCGGTAGACCTCCACGAGCTGCTTGCTGCCTTTACGGGCAATGTAAACCAGGTACTTGAGGAGTTCGTCATAGCAGCTGCCTGGCTCCGAAAAGCTGGCGAGGGTACTGGCGTTGGACAGGTAGCGCACCCGTTGCTCCTTCATCAGCTGGCTCTCGCGCTGCTTCGTCTCGGAGAACTGCGTTGCTATCACCACCAGGCAGAGGTTGATCATGAAGAAGGAGCCCACCTAAGGGGACAGGAGCCATCAGCCACCTCGGGGTGGCCATGCCCGCCCCATAGACCTGCCTCACCCCGGCGCAAGGAGCGGGGGGCAAACCCCAGCCAGCCCCATCTCCTGCGTAACCTGGCAGGGACCACCAGCCAGGACCGTGGAAGGGCTCACTCACCCCCCGAGCCCCTGCCCTGGGGACTCCCATGCCAGCGCTCCACGGAGGACGTCAGAGATCAAAGATGAGAGAAGATTATTTTGACAAAAAGCTTTTGCTCTTTTAAGATAATGTTTTTCTCTCTCCTCAGACAGCGGTTGTAATTATCACAATTAGTGGCATTACGATGAATGCACTGAGCCTTCCTGATAGGAGTGTTTTTTCTGGCAGTGTGTGGGCAGCTTGTGAGCAGATCCCTTTCACCTGCTAACAGGATTTGCGGGTGACTGTTACACAAGGGCATCAGCAGCCTGTACCCACAGCTTGGAGATTTTATTTCCAACCAGGGTTTCATGAGATTCTGCCTTCTGCCGAGCCTAGCCTGGATCACAGAGAATTACTGATGTGCTAACAGGCTGTCACACATCACTAACGTTACTCGCACGGCATCTGGAAAAGCACCGCTTCCCTTTCCTCTCCGTTGTTTTGGAGATGCTGAGAGCAAGGGATTGTTTCTTTTTTGGAAAAGCTAATAGATGAACCAGAAAAAGCATCATGGACTAAATTACCTCCTACCATCTCATCAGGGTTTGAGTCCTGGTTTGATGAGGAGCAGAAATCCCCACAATGGCCTAATGGACGACGTGCAGCTATTTTGCTGGACTTAGTCCAATTAGACAGCAAGAAAGGGACTCATCTCACTTATCTCAGCTACATCTGAGTGAGGCACCTAATGATCCTTTAGAGTCAAGAGAGAAATAGGCACATCAAGTCTGCAATGCATCTAATTTATTTTGGATGTCTACCTTCGGAGGAGATGAATCACCCCCTTAAAGCACCTATTTTTCTCCCTTGACGATAAAGGGAGTCTAGACAACGAGCTCAGCCAGTCACAGTAGACAATTCCGCTTGCATAGATGAAGCCCATCATGGAGCCCACCCCACAGAAATTCTTTGTTGGGTCCTTCGTGGGTGGTCTCGGATGGTGCTGTGAAGTGTGGGTGGGCTGTGGGCAGTAATCTCTTCCCTCCTTTCTTAATATGCTCTCTGAAGTTTGGGACTGTCTTCCTGAAACGTCCCCTCTGCTCCAAGGACCCAAGACAGCTGGGTTCTTCAATATGAGGGAATTTCTGGGCAGCCTCCTCCCCTTCCAGAGCTCAAAACCTGACCACGGGAAATTTGCCTACTTTTAAACTTAAATTCAAGGGGGCAACTAAGGGAGAGGACCTTGGAGCACAAGGAGAGAAGTAGTAGAAACAGCAGCTACAGAAGCGTATCTACCATAGCTTAAGCACATCTTTCTTTCCTTCCTTCATATTTGCAGCAAAATGCAGCTGCAATGCAATGCCATATTGAAGCTGCATGTCTTCCAGCAGGCTGGTTTCTACCTCTCCTATGTGGCACCAGCTTTTATATTCACTCTATTACCTGCCCTTTTCCTCTGGGTCACTCCACTCTGCCCTCCCCAAATGCCAGGAGGACTCCCATGTTCCCCTAAGGCCACTCACAATGATCAGGAGGATGAAGTAGATGAAGTTGTAGAAGGAGTGTGCGTCCATGACAAAGTACATGATGTCCACCCAGCCTTCCAGTGTGATGACCTGGTGGAGACAGGAAGGGAAAATGAACCTGTCAACACTCAGTTACAACACCAAGTGCACAAGCAACGTTTCTCCTGATTGGGTCATTTCTGATATCCCATAGCTGGTCTTTGTGCAGTACAAGACACTGAGGAGCCAGTCCTGCTCCCACCAATGCCAACAGCCATGTTGCCAGCTGCCCAGGCTGAATCCAGCCCTTCTTTTCCAGCTGGACCTATAGCCCACTGCTGCATTTTGCAGAGGGAAAAGCAGGCTCTAGGCTCTGTTCCACATCAGGATGGTCTTCTTGCACACACACAGGGTTTGGACACTGAGATTTTGCCCATGCATATGACATGGAAGCATCTTCAAAGAAGGCATCAAATCGTATCCCTGACATTTTGAGCACCCATGCACTACTATATAGGTGCCTGCTGGTGCAAAATAGCCCCCAGAATTGTGATTACACTGCCCCTGGGAACATGTTGGAGGACATGACCGGCTGTTCCCCACCTTGTGACAGTTTGCACACAGGGCTCACCTGAAATATCGCGATCCAGGCGTAGCCAATGTTATCAAAGTTGATGGCTCCCTTGAAAGGGTTGTGCTCCCCAGCGGAGCAGTTGGTGTAATATTGGTTCCAGTTGACACAGGACGTGTTGGTGGTGTCATTGTAGGAATAATAATCCAGGGTGCACTCGAGACCCTCTTCCCTCCGTGTTGGGATACTCCGGCAGTAGCGCATCCCGTTCTCCCGGGGCTGGGAGCAGATGAAGGGGTTCTCATCTTCATTCTCTGTCTGGTAGTATCGCTCCAAATCCACTGTGTAGGGGCTGAAAGAGTCCAGACAGGGCTGGGGTTTGCACACTGATTGCAGGCAATCTGGCAAAGTAACAACTGTAACAGCAAATTCTGACATCTGTTATTCTGGATCTTAAAGCTTGCTTATAAAAGGGATCCCCTTGGACTTCCTGCAGCCCCAGTGGGTGAGATGATGTTCCTCACTAGGTTTTGGGAAACTGAGGCAGTGCACTCAACAACCCCTCTGATGACATTACCAAGAGTCACTCCATGTGGAAGTGCTCTGGTTTTGACTTTGGGGGACTAAGAGCAGGATTCAGTCCAGCAGAGCTTCTCTGAAATATCTTTGCTGCAGTAAGGTGGAAATCAGTCAGTTTAAGCTCCTGTATCTCCTGTCCTTCTGGAGATGCTGAGAATGGATTGGGAAGACTCTGTGTACAAGGACCTCCCAAGCTTCCTAAAAACCAGAGACAGGGCCTTCAGCTGCATTTCACAGTGCCTGTTTCAGCCCATAGATAAGCTCTAAATTGCCTCTGAGGGTGGCCTTACCACAGCAAACCAGCAAAAACACTCTTCAGGGAGATGAAACAACCCATGACCAGCCAGAAACTGGCACACAGCTATCTCCTTAATGCTGCCAGGACTCCCACTAAAGCTTGCAAAGATATTTTTAAGCCTAGTTCAGCCCAGTTAATTCCTGCCGAATTGCCTTTAATACCCTTCAAATCTTATCTAAACCCCTGGAATTCTGGCTCAATTAAACAGCACCCAAACCTGTGGCTCCAATGGATTTACTCAGTGGTGAAGCAGGCCCTCTGCTCTGCTGCCATTTACTTAACAGGGACATGCCCTGGTAATGACTCTCCTAACAGCCCTTGAGGGCATGACCTACAAGAGGGGTGGCAGTCGATTAGGAGATGTGTGAGAGAGGATAAAACGTGCATCATGCCAGCTCCAGACCCGAGATCCAGCCTAGCCGCAGCAGCAGCATCATGGTCCTGCTGTATGCAAGAGAGAGGCTTTGGGCTTGCAGGACTTCTCCATCCAGGTGTGGATCTAGCTGGATCAGCTCCAGGGAGTCAACATTTGAAAGCGATCCACTGAAAGGTGACAGGGTGCTGGAGCTCGGCAGGGCAGCCGTCAAGGGTTTGCAGTCACCTGCCCTTCTCCTAGCATCCAAAGGGAGGGAGGTCATGGGAAAAAGCAGGTAGGTAGGAGAACAGGTATGAAAATCCTGGTCTGAAAGAGGCTGAAAGCTACCAGAACAGAGGGGTATTTCAATCACTGTTCAAACATTCCTACATCCGGCAAGCTGGCTGGCTGGGAAACTGGGTGCTACAAAACCCCACTTGATCTCAATAGTCCTCTTGGCCTTAAAATCCAGGGTTCTGTAAAAAATAATGCTTTGGGACAGGGTCTATCTCTTGCTCTGAGACTGAAAAGGATCTAGCATCCTGAAAGGTATGGTAGCTTCATCACACTCTAGGGTTTAGGTGGGACTACAAATGCCGTACCAATAAACACTACCAGCTGCTGAACAGCGTTCAGACCTCAATAGCTTGACAAAAGCAGAAAAGGTCGCGTGTTAATGATATGCTGAATTTGAAAGCCTGAACTCCTATTCTCAGGGTTTTTTTGGAGGCTCTTATCAATCAGAGAGGTTCCCAGGTGTCAGCTGAGAGTTAAGGACAGCCCTGCAGGACTTGAATGGCAAATCGTCACAGCTCCCTCTGTTCTGGCTGTGCATGCCCGGGCAGGAGTTCTGGTGGCATTTAGGAGCAGGGAGCATTTACAGAAGACCAGGTCTTTTTAATGGAGGATATCCTCATCTCCTGGAGGGATAGACTCGCCCAAGCTGGAGAGACACTTCTGCTGCCCACACAGACTCACATGCTGAAGTTCTCAGGGAGGAAGCAGCGGTTCCTGAGCAAACCTGCCCACAGCTGGACTCCCACGATGCCAAAGATGAAGAAGACGAAGAAGCAGAGGAGGAGGACGTTCCCCAGCATGGGCAGCGTGTCCAAAAGAAGTGTCACCAGAATGCGCATACCTGAGGCAAAGAGGAAGCGGTCAAGGAAGGGGAAAACTCCCCGCTGAATTTTCTTATTCCAGCTATGTCCTCCTGACCTTTTCCTTTCCATCCATACTTTCCCTTTCACTGACAGCTGCTGTCTTCCCAACCACTGTCCTCACCCACACATGGCTTGCAAAGACCTGCAGCTCCCCAGGCCCCGCTGGTTTCCCCCCAAAGCCCCTGGAATACCCTCTTCATCCGTGCCCTGCTCCTGGGCACACGACCTACCTTCCCTGCTCCTCTCCCTTCGCTCCCCATCTCAAGTCCTCTTCTCCTCCTGAAGTTTTCTAGGAATTACATGTCTCCTTTCTTCCCTGAGACCAAACCCTGATGTATTTCTTTCCCCACTCAGTATATATTAAAATTCCCTTCCCTCCCTAATTCCCCTCATCTACCCTAAAACCCTTCTCTTCCTTAAAATACAGGGCTCTCTCTGGCAGTTAATTCTCACAAGTTCAGGAACAGCCAGTTCTGTAACAAAGACAAATTGATGGTGACTTCAACTTGACATTTACACACAAAAAAATTTGATTTCATCTGACATCTCTGTAATATTCTGCTCATCTCTCGCTCTCCTTCTTTCCCCATCTTCTGCATTCTCTCTCTTGCTTATATTGATTTTCATTTAAAGAAAGCTTTACTGTTGCACCCTTTGCTTTGATACTTCAAGATGACTTTTTTCTCTCTTCCTGATGCTGTCACCAACTCTAGCAGGGTTTTTTTTTCTACTTCTCTGCTGGGGAACAACCACCTTGCGTCAACTCCTAATTAACTGAGATGACTTTCTGTGGTTACTGCATTTATCATCATACAAAAATCTGTTTTTTCTTTTCCCAACTTATATTTCTATCCCATTGTAACTACGTTGCAGAGAAGCCAAGATAAATTACCCAGGATTTCAAAATACATTAAGTGAATTACATCCCCAGTTAGACAGTGGCAGATAAATTCAGCCATCCATCAGTTCAGCAGTGGGGATAAAAAAACCATTGCAAACAGCATTCTGAAGCTACCATAACAATTGAAACAGCAGCAGCAGAAAAGCCAGATTAAGTTCAAGAGTCAGGACCAGAAAAATAAATAGAGCTAGGCACCTCCAGCATCAGCAGACAGAACTGAAGCTGATTAGTTCTCGTCAAGGCATTGGGCTGGTTCAGATAGGGGAGTTCAGACTTGGATTTAATTTGGCTAAAACGATGCTGGATTCGATACCAGCACGGCACAGCAGGAGCTGCTCCCTGGGCAGTTTGCTTGGGTTTGCGATGGCCAACGCCTCTCCAAGCACAGGGCTGGGTTGCCATTGCCTGCTGCCACGCAGAAGCAGGCAATGCCACCCGTTGTTGTTCAAGGGGGGTCTGAGATCCTCATGCATGACCTGATAAACCAGCACTGAATAGCCACCTCCCGTCCCACCCGGGCTTGCTTTGGAGGCGTTGGCGTTTTGGGCTGTACGGACCAGCTCTGGGGAGCAGAGCAACAGGTGCTCCAAGAGGAGGCTCCTCAGCACCTTCCAGGGAGCTGTCTCCAGCCATGACAAGATTTCCTCACCCCAGTTTCTCCAGGAAAAGACAGGGTAGTGCAGGGAGGGTGGGAGCAGCATGGCTGAGACCCCTCTGCCCATGCTGCCTGGCGAAGGCTATTGGCTCAGTTGAACCCTATCACCTGCATCCCTTCACCTTAGCAGCCTCCTAAGACCCTCTTCAGATGAGAAAAAAAGGCATCTGAAGACTGTCCTGGGTATCTTATTGACTGGTAGCCCATCTCTGATGCCACAGGTGCCAAAAGGAAGATTATTTAAAGTAGGAGAGTGCCAGGCACTGGAACCCAGAGAGTGGTGGTAAGACCTCGCATCACCAGGGCCTGGGTGAACATCTGAGCTGCAATGTAAGATGAGAAACATCTGCATTTGCTCTTCCATCTTTGGGGCACAGATATAAAGAACTTACATCAAATGGGAGGAATAAGGAGCCAACTTACTGGGGACCCTGTTAATGGCCCTGAGTGGCCGCAGGACACGGACGGTGCGGACCGCTGAGAAGCTGACGTTCTGCAGGTCCAGGGAGTACTCCAGCATCCTGCGAAAGACACAAATGTAGAGGAGCATCAAGGATCTTCTGGAGAAATGTTAGATTATCAAACATTATAAATCAAACATTATATGCCAACTGCTCAGAGGGACTTGTTACTGCATCTCTCCCATCAGGAAAGTTTGCCAGAGGAATTAATTAAGGGTTGTTTGCATATTAGAATAAAGTCAATGAGCAAGAACGTGATACACCAGATCACACAGCCACAGATTTTCTCTCTTTCTCATCTGCTTTGGTTACTGGTTTTGTGCAGGTGCAGGGCAGAAGCTTCCAAAAGTTCCTGCACACCCCAGGAGGGCAATTTCCACACACAGCCCTGTTTTTAACAATTGTACAGATACTCTAATGGAACTGGGTTCACTGTCCTGAGCACCACCACAACCCTGAAAAGCAGAGGAGTGCCCCCTGGTGCAGACCCTTTCCACAGGGCGCAGGAGGCAAGCAGCACAGGACGCTGAGCTATTCTGGCTCTACCCAGCAGAGATCTTTGGCAGGTGGGACTCAGGTGGATGGGCAAGCGCACAAATCAAAACTGATGACACTTGTAGATAACAAATGGGGCAAACATGGACCGAGGAAACTCCTGGTGCTCCTCCACTGTGCCTGATGGGGTTATTTCACAGCTCAGGACACTGAGGTGCAACCTTGACGTGACTTAGTCTGAGGATGCACTTGGACTGCTACAAGTCCCTGGGGTCCCCCAGCACCATCTTGCTCTGCTCATGGCACCTTTGCTCAAGCACAGTGGGGCTATCAGTCACATTCCCACCAGGACTTTGCTCTCCAGCCATGGGAAAACACAAGATCTCTGCCCAAAAACATTCTTGAAGAGGCAGAGTCAGGCAAAGGCAAGGAAGGGGACCATGAGGATCCCTGCACAGCTGGGCTCCCACTGCCACAGGCAACCACAGGATATTAATCTCTTCCAAAAATTATCAAGTTCCATCTTAAAGCTAGTTGGGTAGTTGGAAGCCTAAACTTCCAGTCTGAATTTATTCAGGACAAGCTCATATCCATTTCTTCTTATGCCAGCACTGTCCTTTAAGCAGCTTCTATAGCTCTTTGCCCCTGGTGTTTACTCACATGAGGTATTTACAGAAGACAAATCACATCTCCTCTCAGCCTTGATTTTGCAAAGCCAAACAGACCAAGCTCTTCCAGCCCCATCTCACAGACAGGCTCTCTGCTTCCCAGTCGCAACCTTTCTCTGCACCTGCCCTGGCCTGAATTAATCGCACCTGATTAGACATCAAATTTCTGGAGGAGGCTTTGCCAGCACCTCGCACAAAGGCATCAGTGCTGCCCCCTCCCTCCCTGCTGGAAATCCTGCAGGACCCATCAGTGCCATGTTAGCTTTGCCACAGCTGCAGCACACTAGAGGTTTCTGCTCTCGCTGTGATCAGCCAAACCCACTCTTCTCTCTCCTGGCCATCAGCATGTGAGGAGCACCCACGGTGGAGCAGGCTTTCTCTTTCTAGCCCCCAAATACACGACTCCACACTTCATGCAGTGACGCTTTATCGCATTTCTCTTGATAGGCTCTAATGAGGATGATGATAATCAAACCATATCTAAGATCAAAATAACCTCAACGTATTCCTCCATATTTAGCTGACACGCACAGCCATCAGGCAGTCCCAGAATATGAACATTGGACAGACACCTGGATTCTAGGACTTTGTTCTCATCCACTGACCTGAGAGGAAGGCAGCGTGTCCACTAAAGTCCACCTGTCTCCAGTGACAAAACCAGCCCCTTCCTCCATGTGTGAGACTCACCGCATTGGGTGAGCTTTAGCTGCAGTAAGGAGAGGGGCAACAATTTCCCTGGACTTTAATGGTTCTCAGGTTTCACTCATGGTTTGAAAATAAGATTTTTGTATGGTATGCAGGATTCAGGTAAAAAGCCCATGTCAAACATACAGCTTTTCTTTCATCCATTATTAAAACAGAGGCTACCAGCAAAATTCAGAGCAGCATATGGTTATTTGCACCAAGACAAATCATTTTCTGATTAATGACAGCTCTAGACTCACTTCCAGAGCTGCATGTGCTTGTAATCTGCAAAGGGCATGCTGTAAAACACATTTTGATTTAATATATTAAAGAACAATTATCATACCACACTAAAAAAAAACCCAACAAAAATAAATCAACAACCCACTAGCTTGAGCAAACACTTTAACACCAAGACCAAGAGCAGGTAGGTGCTCTTCTACCTCTGCTGCTACCAGCACCAGTGTTACAGCACCACAAGCTCAGCCCCAGACCTAGACTAGAAGATCCACACATTGCTTTGATAACAGCTCAAGAGCCTTGAAAGAACCCAGTACTGGGGGGGAAAAAATGTGGGTAAAAATCAGTCACTAAAGAGCAAGTCCAATGAGAAACCCACCACTTCCCAGCTCAAAGGTCCCTTCCCAAGGGGATGCACAGGAGGAATCAATCCACATCCCTGGCAAGGGAAGATACCCAGGGAGAGCGAATGTCAGGATGTCACCAACTGGCGAGGTGACAGGTGCATTTACCAGCATATATAACATTTGCACATTGAAAATCTGCAGTGTAAAAAGCCCCTGATGAAGCTTCAACTCAAATGTCATTTCTGTTCAAACGGGAGAGCGCAATGCCTGTCAGTGCCTCTGCCACAGACCCAGGTGCCCAGCTAAGTAAAAGGCTCAGAAAAATACTCAGCATTAAATAGGATGGATTCCTAGCAAATGCTCAGGCTCACCAGAGTTATCAGCAACCCCCGATCGCTGGAGTTATTCAGAAGGAAAGCGGAAATATTTAGGACTTTCTAAGAATAAAAGTGGAGCATCTGCAAAACCAGACGTACAACGGGCTGGTGGTGGGATGCAGAGAGAGAGCTGATGCAAACCTTTGGCAAACACTCCTCTGAGAAGGAAAACTCCCGGGACTCAGCAGACACAAGAGATGTCTCAGGATGGACCAGGCAGCAGAAATTCATTCCTGTTCTGCCTGGAGATAGCAAGACTTGGCGCAAGCTGGGGCTTCTTTCATATAAAACCCAAAGCCTTGGGAAAGATCTCATAAGCGCAGTGTCAGGCAGCACCCCTGCCTGCGGCAAAGGGCTCGCAGAAGTGATGCTCAGGAGCATCACAGGAGGGGTTAAAGGGGCTCTTCTCACACAGTGAGCCTCTAACAGAGCACAGAAATGCCAGCAAAGCCCTCCCCACACCTATCCTGCATCACCTCTCCGACCCACCCTGCTCTCAGCCCTGGCTCCACTCCCATCCCTGGGATCACTCCTGCTCAGGAAGCAGAAGACAGGGTGAAGATCCATCAGAACCATGGAGTTTGTGCTGAGGGTGCTTTCCTATGAACACTTGAGCTCTCCCCTTTCACAGCTGGGTGCCGGGAGACAGGGGACGTGACCAAGGTCACATAAGGAACCCCCAGCAGAGCAGCAATGCCTGCAGGCAGGGCAGCATCCCCAGGGAGCTGCCCACCCTTCTGCCCGCAGAGGCACAGAGCTGCCACTCGCTGCCAGCAAGAGATAGGCTCAGACTTATTCAGCGTTAAAAGGTTTCCAAAACTGGGCGTATAGGCACCCTTTATCTACAAAGCGCAGTAATCAATAGATGATATTAAGCCATCGGTGTTGGAAAAGACAAGGGGAAATTATTTAGGCAGTGTTGTATCTTCAGAAAACTGGAATGAAATTTCCTCCTGGCCCTCGCCAGCTTTGCTGTGCTCTGCTTTTGCTCAGGAGCTGCTTTTTAAGCCTCGCGAGTCTCACTGCATTCGTGGGTGTTGCTTAATTTTAAAAATACTCATTTTAATCAAGCTGAATGGAACAAAAAGAATCGCACTGGAGGGAGCATGAACCCTGCAGCCTGCTGGATCCAGCCGCACCATGTGTCCCAGCCAGGACAGTCAACTAATGAGGCTCTTGAAGCAGCAGCAAGTTCAGCTGAAGAACTGAAATCAACTGAAGAATTATCTTTAAAAAAGTCCTAAAACTTAAAAAAACAAGGCTTTTCACAGGTGGGTTTGAGTCAGCTCAGCTGCGAGGGAGGCTGCTGAGGGGTTTCTTTTACCCAGCAGGTTTCTGTAAGTCAGGGACGTGTTTTGCTCAGGATGCTCTGCTTCAAAGGCTGCAAAGGCTGTGGTAAGGCAGCACAGAGCAGAGAGCATCAGCAGCCGGGGGCTTCACCGGCCCTGGGTCTCGGCTGCTCTTCATCCTCCCAAAAGTCACAAAGCATCAAATTGCAAAGTTTGACCCCAGCTTTTGAACCCCTGGAGATTTCTAATCATGAGTATTGGCTTGATGTCATTCTGCCACTTCTGCTCAGAGCAAAGAGCACCTGATCTGGGATGAGTGAGGACGCAGCGGGGCCCCAGGAGGAGGCTTCCAGCTTCCAGGACACTTGCACCCACCCCAGAAAGCACTGGAGAGGGGCAGGCTCCTGAGAGAGCGTTTGGTGCAGCTTTCACTGCGGCTCAAAGGGGCTGCGGCTGTGATTGCACATTGGGTAATTGCGTGTGCAAATCGGCCACTTACACGGGCAATTACCCCACAGCGCTAACAGTGCCCAGGCAGCGCAGAGGGCACCGCGCATCCACGTCTCCAAGGTGCTGTTCCTCGGTGTGAGAGGGATCAATACAGGCAGGCAGAGGGGATGAAAAGGCAACGTTCATCCCTGCCTCTATTTTTTTTTTTTTTTAAGGGATGAAGGGACTAATACATGGGGAAAGAAAAGCCTTTGCCCGCAGTGGCAGTAGGAGGCTGCAGCAGGGACCCCCGTGGGCAGCCCCACGCCAGTGCTTTCTTCCCCACATCTGACCTGGGGAGCTGGAACAGCCCCTTGATCAGCCTTGTGCGGCCAAAGTGCCCATCAGAAGAACCCTGCCTGCTTGTGAAGCGAACCGGCGCTGTGAGGTGAAGGCCACGCACTGGAAGCTTCACCCAACGCGGCCAGCAGGAGCCTTGCTCTGGCTGCTACAGCCACGGGAGCCCTGCTCCCCACAGAGACCAATCTGGCAGCTTCGCCCTTGTCCGGATTTCTGAGCTAAACAGCTTTTCAGGAATCCTCCAGTTTTAGATGGAGCAGGGATGGAGTAGGGCATTGTGGCATCCCTTTCTCTCCCAGGTACCTATGAATACAGCAAGGCTTGCTGCAGCATATTTCACCCCTGAAATTCAGCATGCAAAACCAGGAGGGAGCAAGATATCCTTAAGGGTTGTTTATGAAGGCTTTGCCGGAGCTAAGTCTTTAATATAGCCTTCAACAGAGGGAGAAAAAAATCATAACAAACATTAGAAGTGTTCAGGAAGCAAAGAGAAAAAGAAATGGTGTCTCTGTTTCTAAAGAAAGTGGCCTGCCAACCACCTCCAGCCCCGGCTCGTCTCAAATTGTAAGCAAACTATTCCAGAAGTGTTTAAGTTTCCTACAAAGTCAAGAGGCCCGTTAACCTTTGAGCACAAACAGAACCCCACAAACTTGGCCAAACAACTGACTGAGCCCAGACTAATGACAGACCCGCACAACTCAAAGACAGAGTGATGCACAGCCCTGCTCGGAGGGGAGCGGAAACCCAGAGCCCTGCCCCTGCTCGACCCTGTGTCTAGAGAAGGCAGAGAGGAACCCTGTAAGCTCTTACAGCACCAAGTTATCCCAATTTATAGCCTCTCTCCTGGGAAAACAATTAACCATTGGGTTTTTTTGTTGTTTTGGGTTTTTTTTTTGATGAGGATGGTTTAAAGCACAATTCAATCCACAGGGATGCAAAGGGTCAGGGAAGTCCTTCTCCGACTGAAGTCAAACAAGCTGATGTCCTGCAAGCTGGTGGGACTGCAGCAAATTGGCTGGGGATAGGGATGGCTCCAGCTGAGGAGCAGGTAGATCTCAATCTGTGGCTGTCTTCTTCCCAAGGACTGATGAGAGAAGAGCTCCCTGTGCCCTGCCTGGGTGCTGGGTCTTGAAGCAGCCAGGGAGACGGCAAGTCAGGGCACATCTCCATCCCACAGCTCTGGTTCACATGCCAGAGCCTCAGCTGGCACTAAACTGTAAATGACTCTGCATATTTTTGGATGTAAACAAACGTTCATCCTCGATACATATGTGCCTTATGCTGGGAGAGGTCGAAATCGTATTGAATCATCTTTAGAGGGTGAGAGCTGGCTTGCAACGCCCGTTAACCTTCAAGTGTTCTCTTACAAGCTAACTCCCCAAATACTCTTCTTTAAAATAACACAACATAATTATCTCATTCATCACTTTTTTCCTTCCCTTTTCCCCATGCAACTCCATAACCTACAGCCAAAGCCATGTTTCACTAAGCTGAGTTTTGATAATACAGCGCTATTCTCATCTCCAGCAAGTTTTACTGTAATTACAGAGATGTGTTGCAGACATTACAAACTCTACAATTAGTGCTAATTGCATTACATTGTCACAAAGAAGTCATTTACTCTCCATGAGCTCATGAGATTGGTCTGGACAGTTTAACAGAGCTGAGAACTACCTAACGGCATGCCACCAAAGTGGCCAGCCCCACAGAGGGAGCGAGCACAGAACCCGAGCAACTCTCCCAGCCCTCTGCAAGGGACAGAATTGGGGCAAAAACACACAAAAAGGTTCCTCTATGATTTCAATCCCTGGCAGGACCAGAAACTTCTCAAGGAATGGGAAAGATGAAATGCCACAGGGGGTTGGGTTGTTTTCTGGAAGCCCCTCCTAGATGGGTGGTGGTTGGGAAGAGTTTCTATGGCAGGGCTGCCCATGGGAGCGCACAGCCCTGGCACGCAGCACGTCCTGCATGCCATCCCGCACGACGCACCTTCCCCCCACGATGCCCCACAGGCGCAGTTTGCTGCTTCTCCTCTCCTGCTGCCATCAGTTTCTGCAGCCCATGGGCAGGGAAACAGCAGGGAAAGCAAGAGAGCAGGAGCCAGGGACCTGCCAGGCGGTGGGGAGCCCACGCTGTCCTGCTGCCTTGTCCCCTCCACCTCTTGCACAAAAAGGGAAGGAAAAAGGTGGGAAGGCAGAAGCAGAGCTGCTTTGTTGTGCTCACCAGGGCCATGTGGAAACATCAGTTTGTGGGCCTCTTCCCCTGACGTTTCACTGGGGAACCTGGCTGAAGCCCTTACGTGAGACCTACATAAAAATGTGATGCACTTTATTAGGTATCCAGCAAATACAGCAGGGATTTGGGGATCACCCCAGCGCACACTCTCCTCCAGGGCCACAGCTCAGCTCTGGCCCCTTTCCCCACATCACACACCTGCTCAGGCACAAGGTGCCTCCATGTCAAGCTCAGCTCACCCCTTGCTCCCGTACCCTGCTGTTAGCACCACGGTCGGGATGCTTGTCAGGGTAATTTGCCCCATGTGGGAACCGCAGAGCTGCACTCAGGGGCTACCAGAGGAATTTCCCTCCATCTGGTTGGGATTTGACCCTGAAGTGTTTTTTCCGCTTATCCTTATGGCGGTTTTTACCTACATCTTTAACCTAGTAATGGGCTCTGGTCCCTTCGTTTTTCCTCTGCCGTGGCAGTGGCCCGTTCCTGCAGCCCCTTTGGCTTTCCCTGGCACTTGGTGCTGCCAGGGACGGCTAAGGGACTCTCCAGGATGGCAATGATGCTCCAAGCAGGATGCAGTGCTCCCGGCTAGATGGGCGAGGGCTGGAAGAGAGTGCAAGGGCGTGAAAGGGAGCAGAGAAAGTGGACACTGCAGGAGGAGAGGCTCCACTTTATATTTAAAGGCAGTTCGATCCTTTGTCAGCTGAATTGGTTTTGACGGGGCCCAGATGGGAACAGTTCACGCACACACAGGAAAGACCCATCATTTAGTGAGAGGCAAAGCCAACCTGGCAGGAGTCACGCGAGCGGTCAAGCTGCAAGGCTGCAAAACCTCTGCAGCAAATAAAAGCCTCCGTGCCTTGGAGACGCGGGAAGGAGGCAGTGTCAGAGGGGAAGTCAGTGCCACTATCCACACTTAGCCCGGGGAGGAGGAGGCTCTCACACACCCAAACGCCTGTCCAGGTGCAGTAGGTGGGCGGGAGAGTGCATGCTTGCTTAAGGGAAGTGCAGCTATATTTTGGCAGAGGTATTAAAATGGTCTCTGCTGATATCCCTGTGGACCGAGGTCCCATCACAGCGGGGTCTTCATAGAAGCACATCAAGGGTAACTACTCTAGCTCCAAAGACCTTGCAAGCTCAATAGACAAGGCCAGGACCGGGCTGGGAGGGGAACACAGCAGCACCCTGGGGCAGCAGCACTGGAAGCAGCCCAGCACCCACCACCACGCCTCCCTGAGCCTCCCCCGGTGGGATGCCTGGCCTTGCTTGGGTTTCGTTCTTCATCACACTTAACTCTAGTATAAGAAATAATAAAGAAGAAGAAATAAAGAATAGACAGGGTGGCTTTAGCAGGTTCCAGCCTTTGGCTGTGCTGCTGTTTACAACCCTACCACAGCCGGTTGGACCTGGGGTCCCACCTTGTCCAACATCCCATCACTGCAGCCCCTAACGTTGCTCAGTCACTTCAGGAGAAAACTTTGAGCCCTATCCTAGCCCAAGGAGCCAGAGGTTAGTGCAGCTGGAAAGCACAGGGTTGTGGCCTCCGCAGAAGATGGGTTCATGGGGACAGTTACAGCTCTTGGCCTTTCTGCCCTCCATCTCTGCCTCCAGTCTGGTTCTTGAGCCTCACTACATCTTTCGGCCCCTGAAGCACCCCATGACAATGAGTTTCCCAGGCCAAGGATGGAGTGGGACACGTGGCACCTCCTTACTGGTTTTACTGGGCCACTGTTTTGGTTTTCCCAGCTGCCTGGCAGAGGTGTGTGCCATGACCCTATGGGGCCAGTGATGGACCACAAGCAAAGTCCACCAAGGTGTTGTCCCTTCTTGGGGCGCACCAAACCCATGCCAGGTAAAGAGCCCAGATGGGAGGGTCCACTGCTCCTTTCCAGGAAAATCCAGTAAATTTGATCTCTAGCTCTATCAAAAGAGGAAAAAACACACTGTTTTCCCAAAGGTCTTTGGGCTCTCAGAATAGGGAGGGGAGGCGAGGGCCGGCGAGCGATTCACGTGTCAAAGAAACTCAGCTCGCTGGCGGGGGGCCAGGGACTTTTCATGTGGATTTCCAGCCTCTGCCAGGAGACTCTCGGGTGCTGGAAGAGCCTTTAATTCAAACCAGGTGCCTCTGAAAGGAAAACACTCAAAAAGGCGAACTTGGTCGCTTTCCCTCAAAAAAAAAAAAAGTATAATAATGAGGGCAATCACGCACATTTCAGTGAACTATCCTCCTTGGCACGCTGCTCCGTGCTCCCAACCGCCCGCTCCGCTGCCACCTCACCCGACGGAAAGTGAAACCACCAGCGGGGCTGGAGGGAGAAGAGCCGAGCCCAGCACCCAGCAAGGAGCCCCAGGGCACGGGCTGGCCAAAATCCACCACAAACAGCTTTTGTTGCCCTGCACTGCTCTCTCCATGAGCTGAACATCAGCTCTTCCGCGAGCTATAGAGAGGACCCAGAGGGACTACTGCGGTCCGGGCAGTGATTCCCGCTGCGGAGCCAGGATGGAGAACGCCGATGGCACTGATGCCCAGCAAGCCCCCAGCCTTCACCACTGCAAACCAGCCACTCCCCCAAATCCAACACTTGCCAAGCAAGCCATGAATGACAACAGAGGGGCACAGGGAGAGGGAGACCCACCACACCGGCCTTACCCCGCAATGACGATGAAGAAGTCCAGGCGGTTCCACGTGTCTCCCAAGTAGCATTTCTTCCCAAAAATCCCCAGTGCAATCATCTTGACAATCATTTCCACAGCGAAGAAGGCAAAGATGAAATCATCGAAGCTCTGCAAAAGAAAGGAAGGGAGTAGGGATGCTCCTGCATCGCTGCACGCTTGCACCAGGGGAGGGAATTGGAGACCTAAAGGTCTAAAGAGGTCTAAACGTCTAAGAGGGCTAAAATCCCTGGGCAGAGGCAGCACAGAGAGCAGCCTCATGTCTTCCCCCAAACCAGTCTGGCCAACAGCACCCACAGCACTGTGATAAAGGGACAAGCATATTTTGGGCTCTGTTTTCACTATAAACTCAATAGTTTATAGCAAGCACTCCAAGCAAGGCTTGGCTATGCTGGGGCTGGCACATCCTGGCAGGGGCTTTGCCTGCTGACACTGCGTGTTTGCATCCGAGCACCAAAATCAGCATTTTTTATGTGCTGGTGGGACAGCCAGTGCAGGCCAGACCCAGCCATCCCAGGGCACCTCCGCTGCGGCTGGAGCCGTCTCTGCCACAGCTCTGTCCTTCCCACTCCCCATCTACCTGGGGCCGCTGTTAGGCTAAAAGCAGCAGCCAAGCCATACCTGGAGGATCCTGCAGCGTGGTGAGTCGCAGGCAATGTCCTCGCAGGGGTGGAACATGCCCAGTGTCACGCAGTTGAGCAGGATGACCAGCATGCTCACCCTCTCGAACCACCTGCATGGTGCCCCGTCAAGGAAGCAAGGACCCAGACGAGCATCCGGAATGGCCACCACTGAATCAGAAAGGCTGTTCTGGCCCTTAAAGCAAGGCACTTGCCAGCTTCACTAGGTTAGATTCTATCTGGTTTTGCATGGAGAACCTACCTGCTGCTCAGATACCTGCATGGCAAACCCATGGTGTGTTCTCCCCATGCTGACATCAGTGTCTACAGCTAATGTGAAAACAGCTATAAAATGAAAGTTGCATGGCAAGAGTGCTGAGTGCTGATGTGATGGATTAAAAAATTAAACTGAAAGAACGGTATCAACTTTTAGGAAAAAAAAAATCCCACGCCGTTAATTTCCTCTCCTGGCATTTTATGGAAAAGCACTTTAACAACATTACAATTTTCTATTAACCATGTCATGGCTTATCCCAGGGGCATTTCCCTGAAGCCACTGCTTGAACTTTTCATTCCCAGTCCAAATTAAGACTGCCAAAACCATTAACTGACTGCCTAAAAGCCTTAAGACTGCAAGGGCTAGCAGAACCCATGCCCTACCCCAACTGCTGCCTCTTGGAGCGATTTTAAAAGACGTGAGCTGCTGGGACAGACTTTGGATGCTGTTACTTTTGGGGCAGAATAAAGTGTGCTGCTGCAGCAAATCTTCATAGGGATGGTTCAAACTCAGTACCCAATTTCTGCATCCTTTTAGGGGGCATTTCCAGCCAGCTCCTGACTGCCTGGGGCACAGAGATATGAAATCCAGGAGCCGGTGCAACATGATGTCTGGGATATCTTCCAGCCTGGCATGGAAAACACCCCATTGGCTGCTGCGACCTGCAGGCAGTCGGGGCCACGCTCCTGCCTGGGTGCAGGCAGCAGCTTCCAGGCTCTAGGAAAATAAGCGTGGCCCTTGTCAGACAAGAGCTTTCGCTGCAACACAGTAGCGGGTGGTGTTTGGAAGCCCGTGCTGTAGCGTTATCTGGCTGGGGAAGAAGAAGGTGAACATGAATCAGCAGGTGCCTCCCCGCCGGGAGCACGGGGCTGGAGCTGGCAGATGCTGCCACCCATCCTGGGCCAATTCCTGGGAAATCACATGGGGCTGAGTCATGGCTTGGTCGCCAGCAATCTGGATCTTTTAATCGGTAGAAATGTTTACAAGATATTGGGATAGACATTCCAACTGTCAGGTTGGGGCTATGGGCTGGAATATTTAGCCCAAATATAGTCCTGTGGGGGCAGGCGTGGAGGGCGGGCTGGAGGAGGGGGCAGGAGGCTGCTGGCAGGAGCTGCAGGGGATCCACGGGCGTTCCCTGGCTTGGGGGGCTGGAAAGCCTCCCTCTGCAGAGCCAGCCGCGTCCATGGCTCTGCCAGCAAGGAGCTGCAAAGCCCTTGAGAAAATAAAGAATAAAAAAAAGAATGAGCACATGTCTGCAAAAGCTATGTGAGATATTCGGCAGGGAAGCTCGGGAGTAGCCTGCTTGGTCGGGTCAAAACCTGCAGAGACAGACAGATGCTTCCCCAGACAGGCAGCGCTTTGTGCAAAATCTTTCATGGCAGTGGAGAAGACCCCGTGCTGGGCCTGGTTCTCCCCCACCGGCTCTGTCTCAGCTGGGCACAGGTGATGCTTTTGCCATGGCAGGCAGCTGCTTGTACGCTGGCTGGGGACCATGAGCTCCCCAGCGAGCAGAGATGGGCACACAACCATGATGTGCATCTGCTTGGAGCCACTTCCCATCTCACCTCCTCCCTCTCCAAGACCTAGGGCAGCCCTAACGCCCACCCAGGGCAGCTGAGCAGATCCAAGCTCGCCGCAGCCCATGTCCAGCGCAAAGGGCTGAGCGGTGGCTGAAATGCGAGGAACAGCACAGGATGGCACCAAGGGCACCCTCCCCATCCTCCTCCGGCATGCCACAGATGACAAAGCTGTGGGTGCCCCTCCATGCTTGTTAGCGTGCTGACACTGGCACTGGTGACCAACTGCAAGTGGAGAGTAGCCAGGAGAGCACAGCCCCCTGAGACACCACAACCTGCTGCACACGAGGCATGAGATGCAGTCGGGAGGGAGATGTGGGGACCAGCACCAGGGCTGCACCCACCAAAAGGACCCCCCACCAGGGCTGCACCCACCAAAAGGACCCCCTGCAGTGCAGGCAGGCAGGCAACAGCTCCCCCCCCACACCCAGACAGCCCACTGCCCGGAGCCCCAGCATCCCCCATCCTGGCGCAGGCATAGCCCCCCCACGCTGCCCTCCCCAGTGAGGCGATGGCGACGGCGAACGGTCCCCCATCCCGTCTCCCCCTGCTCTCTCTGTGCCCCCAGCCCAGGGCTGGTCCCTGCCCTCCCACCCCGACTCCCCTTGCAGGAACAAATATCCCGCAGGCAGAAAAACAGCCCGGGGAAGGGGGGACCCAGGGAGCAGGAGGGGATTTTATTTGCTGATGGCAGGCTTTTTTCCCCAGCTTTAACCGCAGACCCACTTATCAGCATATCGCTCCCTCAAGCAAATACATTTCAGTCCAATATAACACTTCACCCTAATTAAATATTCCCGGGATGGGGACCCCAGCAGTGCTGAGGGCGATATGTTAATGTGCAGCTGATAGATCAGAAGGTTGGAGGGTTTATTTTATTTTTTTGACTTTTTTTTTATTTCCAGCTGAATGAAACTTCAGGCTCTTTCTTCTGCTAATGGGATTTTCAGAGGCACACAAAGTGCTGATGGCTACGGCTTTGTACCGACCCTCCTTTGAGCCGAGAGGCTGACAAAGGGAAACTCTTCAATTAGCAAAAGCAGAAGGTGCTTTATTGAATGCCGCTCGCTGCTGCTGCGCAGGCAGCAAAGGGGCAAAGGGGCTTTGGGAAGCACCAGAGACAGTGCTGGTCCTCGGCCAGCAGCTAAGGCGAGGAGGAGGAGGCAAACACTTGGGGCGAGGGGCAGCGGTGGCACTGCCACTGCCTCTCGCCCCGGTGCCGAGCTGAGCCCACAGTCCACATTGGGTGAGATAAATATTTGCTGGGAGTGGAGCTGGCCCTGGGGGGTCCTGCCCCCTCCTTGCGCTCAGCAGGGGGAGAGCACAGAGCTGATGTTTAAAAACAATGAATAGTGGGGTTCACGTGCACGCAGCAGGTAATCACCCTGTCCACTCCATCCCCGGGTGTTAGAGAGAGTCGATGCTTTTCAGGGTCACCGGCTCACCCCACCTATTCTTAAAAATCCACATTTTTACCGTCAACTTGGTCAAGACGGACAGCCAAAGTGTTCACTGATTCTTTTCCATTAGAAAAATATACTTCTGCCACACAGAAATATCCGGTAAGACTTTTGTTGTAACTTGTCTCTTAAAAATCATAAAATAAAGAGCACGAAAAAAAAAAGGAAAAAAATCCAGCAGTCGCTCACTTGTCACAAAGAGGAGCTTTGCACAGAGCAAGAGCCCTCAGCACCACCACCCCCACCGTGAGCGATCCCCATGCTACCTGCCTGTGCTCAGCAAAGCCTGACCTTTTGTAATTAAGAGGCAAGAGCCCCAGATTCAATTAGCCAGCACTACCCAGCTTAACATAATCAAAAGAGAAAGATATTACATTATGCTTGCTATGATTTGGTTGCAGAAGTTTGGATCAAATTCACCAGCAAGTGAATTAAATGGGAAGCTGTTGCTCGAGGGCAGCAGCAACCAAGAGGACGGTGGGCGCGATGATCGGTCCATCAGCAGTCCAGGCTCTCTCTGCCGAGCCGGAGCACACGCACCGCTCCCGGTGTGCTCTTCGGCTTTGGGATGGGGTGAGCAGGCACCACCGTGACGCAGCATCACCCATCCCCAGAGACAGTGGTCCCTTCCCCGGTGGGGCCAGGCACCGCTGCCGGCAGCTGAGCCGGGTACAGAGGGGAGCGTTTGGTGATGATTTGCAAGGACACACGCTCCCCTAGGGGATTAATATTTATTTCTGCCCTTGATGCCCTGCTGCTTTTACTGTTCCCCCCACCCCCTTCATGCATCCCTCTCTCTCCTCTCCAGCTCCTTCCCTGACCCCTCGTCCAGCTCTCCCTAAGCAGCGCCGGTGCTCCAGCAAAGCAGCAGCTCCAAGTCCTGCCATCACTGGGAAATGGGGTGGGACCCCCCTGAAAGCACAGCCAGCGTGATGGGGAGCAGGACTCTGCGGGCAATGCCTGGGCAGCCCTGCAGCACGGGGGGCTGCAAGCTTTTATCCTGCAATAAAACCCAAGCATAGAAATGCATCAAACTGCCTGGATCCGGCCAGGTGACACCTCGGCTCTGCTCTGCTGCCTGGTTTCTGGGGCAAGGAGAGGTCTTTCAGACCCACGGACCATGGCCATGGCCACGATCGGGTCTCCCATTACCACCTGCAGTCATTACTCTTGTGCCAGGCAAAGCCTTCACTCGCCAGGACGGCGGCTGGTACTTGACAAATGTGCCAAAAGCACTGGCAAGGCCTGGAAATTTTTGTGCAAATGTGATGCGAAAATTGGGTTGAAATGACAGCCTTCCCCTGCAGTGTCACCAAGTCCCACTTGCTTAGGAGTGACACTGGGATAAGCTGCAGACGTTAATGAGAGCAGAGTTTTAGGCTTCATTCATATCATCAATTCCAGAAATAGCCCCTCTGACAGGAGCATAATGGGACCTCCAGGGTCTGGCCTTTGGAGGGGATTTTAGCAGGGGCTAAAATCCTAAAACATTAATTCAGGCCGTTTACAAGGGAAGTTAAAAGTCCTTAGAATTAATCTGCCTCACGGATGGAAATAATAACCCCTTCCCAGCTTCACCTGTGACTGCACCAGACCAGAAGGAAAAGGCTCTTGATGTCATACCCAGCTGAAAGGTTATAGGATTCCCATCACAATCCTGGACATTTAATTTGATTTTTGTTTTTTTCTAACATATACCTTTGAAAGTGAAACCAGCACCCATCTTCTGCTTTTAGCATTCACAGGAGGCATTTGCATCCCCTTGGATGCTGCACGCCAGAGGTGCTCTCAGAGCATCTTTACCTGGTGAATCCACTTGCCTGGCTTGCAGCTGAGCACCGGCAGGGATCTGCCCTGGTGTGATCCTGATACGGTCTCTACCCCGCGGGTTTGCTCTCCCAGATGCTTTTCCAGGCATGGTACCTCCCCTCCATCTGGGAAACGCAAGAGCGGGATGAAGCAGGGAAGATGCGGCAGGTTTACAGCCCTTCCTTCCCTCAGCATCACGGCACCACACCGGCAGCAAAACTGCTTTTTCCTGGCAGGGTGGATAACCCGCTGTGGGCACGGCAGCCCTGGGCATGCTCATTGCATGCATGCGATGGAGCGCGGGCCTCCTGCCCTGCGGTCCGCAGGGATTCATGCCAGGCGAGTCCAATCACCAGGGCGTTCCTGGAAAGCAAAGCCGAGAGGCACTCCTCCGGTGGGACTGCAGCAAAGGGGTTTAAAAATTCAAACACTGCTCAGCGAGCACTTCCACAACATTCCCGATGCCTGCTCCATCCCAGGTCACTGCATCTGGCAGCCCGAGGACACACTGCCAGAAGCCAGCACAACCCCATGGAGCTTGGCACATCCCTGGCCACAGGCTCCGAGCCGGGAAAAAGCCAGGCGGGGAGCATCCCTGCCTCGTCACTGCTCTGCAGCTCTTCGAAACCGCTTCCCTCACAGCGCACAGACCCAGGAGCTTATTTTAATTCCTGCAGCTTCACAATTAAACCTGGGAAACCAAAACAGCACGATTATTCGTGGCAGTGTTTTTGGAAATTTCATCTCCAACTTATTTTCTCTTGCAGATGTTCAAGGGGATGCACCAGCAGCTCCTTCCCTCTGCCATGAAATGGCCACACTCTGCTCCTGCCCCTGCGGGACCGCGAGGCCATGGCCGCACGACAGTCCCCAAAGGCCCCGTAACACACAGCAGTGACTGTAAAGCCCAAAAGTAGAGGAAAAGGGGGATTTCAGGGAGTAATCATCTTAATCATCTTATCATTTTTCTCCCAAAGATTTAAAAACCGCACTGTCAGCGGCAGGCAGGAGATGCTCTCCTCTGCCTCGGAAACGCAGCCGCCTCTCAAGGGGGATGCAGGATTTGCTCAGCAGTGTGGAGGAACCCTGCTCAGCAGCTCAGGTGATGAAGTGAGGAATGATGTTGTATTTAGGGAGGATGAAGCTTGACAAAAAAAAGGTGTTTTGTCAAAAAAAAAAATCTTGATGAGGTTCTTATTTGCTTTACTGTTTCAGAATTGTTTCCCTGTTACCTTTTAGATTTGCACTTTCAGGTTTTTCTCCAGCAATGAAAAGGGTTTAAAATCTCATTGCTTAAAGAGGAAAAAAAAAAAAAGTAAGATAAAAAAAATCCTGCAAGCTGAGTGCCTTGCATAATCTCCAAACTTCAGGAGCTGGAGCTTTTAAGAAAAGCCCTACATATTGCTTGCAATTAACTCCTGAGCTGGGAGGGCTCTGCTGCTGGCAGCCAGGCCTTGGGACCAGCATCTGGGAGGATGGGTGCTTTAAAAAAAAAACCAAAAAAACCAAAAAAACCCACAAGAGCACTTTAGGCTGAAATTATTCTGGCTTCTCATCCCAGTCCTTCCTTCTTCCTCATGCCCATCTCGGCATCAGAGAGCAGAGATCAAAAAAACAGCCCAAAAATGGCCTCGTGCCAAGGGCAGGGGCCAGGTCAGTGCATGGCCCCCAGCCCCTGGGCGAGCAGGACAGGTAGGGGTGGAAGCCCCGCGGGACCAGAGCAGCACGAGCTATTTCACCAACCAATGCCAAATGCTGAGACCCCGACCCTCGCTGCCCCACGCCACCAGAAAGAAAGAGCAGAGAAACCACAAAGCCTTGCTCATCCAGACTGAGCTCCAGCTCCCTCCACTCCTGTCGCTGGTTTAGCACCTTCTGCTGACATTGGGATGGCTCAGGGACAGGCTCTCCTCTCACTCGCCCCACCAAAGTGGGGCTGCGGAGGTGGGAGCGTGCCCTGGCACATACATGCCTCTCCCTGTCCTCCTCCCCGCTC